CACCATGAAGTCCAAAGAACACACCAGACAGGTCAGGGATAAAGTTATTGAGAAATTTAAAGCAGGCTTAGGCTACAAAAAGATTTCCCAAGCCTTGAACATCCCACGGAGCACTGTTCAAGCGATCATTCAGAAATGGAAGGAGTATAGCACAACTGTAAACCTACCAAGACAAGGCCGTCCACCCAAACTCACCGGCCGAACAAGGAGAGCGCTGATCAGAAATGCAGCCAAAAGGCCCATGGTGACTCTGGACGAGCTGAAGAGATCTACAGCTCAGGTGGGGGAATCTGTCCATAGGACAACTATTAGTCGTGCACTGCACAAAGTTGGCCTTTATGGAAGAGTGGCAAGAAGAAAGCCATTGAAAGCCATTGTTAACAGAAAACCATAAGAAGTCCCGTTTGCAGTTTGACACAAGCCATGTGGGGGACACAGCAAACATGTGGAAGAAGGTGTTCTGGTCAGATGAGACCAAAATGGCACTTTTTGGCCAAAATGCAAAACGCTATGTGTGGCGGAAAACTAACACTGCACATCACTCTGAACACACCATCCCCACTGTCAAATATGGTGGTGGCAGCATCATGCTCTGGGGGTGCTTCTCTTCAGCAGGGGCAGGGAAGCTGGTCAGAGTTGATGGGAAGATGGATGGAGCCAAATACAGGGCAATCTTGGAAGAAAACCTCTAGGAGTCTGCAAAAGACTTGAGACTGGGGCGGAGGTTCACCTTCCAGCAGGACCTTAAACATAAAGCCAGGGCAACAATGGAATGGTTTAAAACAAAACATATCCATGTGTTAGAATGGCCCAGTCAAGGTCCAGATCTAAATCCAATCGAAAATCTGTGGCAAGATCTGAAAACTGCTGTTCACAAACGCTGTCCACCTAATCTGACTGAGCTGGAGCTGTTTTGCAAAGAAGAATGGGCAAGGATTTTAGTCTCTAGATGTGCAAAGCTGGTAGAGACATACCCTAAAAGACTGGCAGCTGTAATTGCAGCAAAGTATTGACTCAGGGGGCTGAATAATCACGCACACCCCACTTTGCAGTTATTTATTGTATTGATTTTCGTGAGTTGAGGAGTGTCGGGTGTAGTAGCAGTGACCAGCGACGGGGAAATTGCCCGTTGGTGCTGGGAATACCAAGTGGCAAGAGTCTCTAGGAAGGCCACAGAATCCTCTTTGCCTGGGCCATCCATGCCAAACAGTTCAAACTTGAAGGTCGCTCTTAAATCCTTAATAATGCGAACCAGCTCCCTGACATCCAGGAAGTTCTGAGGAAAAACAGTGGAAGACAGGAAGGCATCCAAGAAGACGACTTGAATGGGTTTCTTTGGAGTGTCCGAGGCGTGGATGACTGCCCGGCAGTAATCCCATAGCAGTGTGAGCAATTTCTCCTCTGTGAAAGAGCCTGAGTCTGCTGGGTCCAGACTCAGGTTGGTTTGTATTGTCACGGCTGCTGGGTGGTGTTTGTGGAAAAGGATCCAAAATGCAGTCTAAGGCTGTGATGCAAGTGACTGTTTATTTACAGAGTGACATAAACAGAAAATGTTGAGCAAAAACCTTCAAAACCTAGACTGGGGAAAACTAATGACAAACCCAAAATACATGGCACACACTGAGCACAGACCGACACCCACTATATATACACACACAAGGTAATTAGGAAATTACACACAGGAGGGAAGCATAGATGATCCTAATTCACATGATGACAGGGAAACGCAAGCTGAACACAGTGATATCACATATGGATCTACAAAATAAAACAGGAAGTTCCCAGGCAGTTTAACAGAATACAAAATCCGAATGAAACTAGAACATGAGAAAATAATAATAATCATAATAATAATCACAAAACGCTGGGTCCCTGACCCAGGACCATGACAATTAGTATTTCACTGGTGTGACTTCTGAAAGTCACAGCATTTTTCAACAGCAAAGGAAAGGAAATGGAAACATTTGAGGGTATTTTAATTTGTTGATTTTTAAAAATATTACTTAAGAGATTTCCTACTACTAGGATGTAAAGAGTAGTGATCATGAAGGGAAATTCTGATTGCATTTTATATGTTGTACAGTTCAAATTATATTATAGTTTTAGTTAGCAACCTGTTGTCTTAGACTGGAGTAGTATATAATGAAACCAACACCACCTTATTTAGGCATTATTTTTAGTTTGAGAGACACCAAAATATGATATTTGTATTGGAAACATTCTGGCTGAAGTCCAGTGTATCCAACATGGATCTGATGTTTCACTTCATGATTTCACACTGACTGAATCCTATTCTATTCTATTCCAGCTGCTGGAGGAAAACATTGTTAATTTTGTAAAGAATGAGCTGAAGAAGATTCTGAACATTCTGGGTCCAGATTACCCAGAATGCTTAGAGAGTCATGGGGAGGATGAAGAGTTGTTGAAAGCTGAGAATGAAAAGCAGATGAACAGCAGCAGAGAAGCATTTGTGAAGCTCACTCTGCACTTCCTGAGGATGATGAAGCAAGCGGAGCTGGCTGATCATCTGGAGAGCAGTAAGAGGGTTACTCTAAATATTTAAAATGGTAGTAGAATAACATTACATTTGCGATCTCATATTATATATCTACTTCTGAAAGCAGAACTTGTTGATGTTTTTATTTTAAGGCTATATCCTCTCTGTGTTCTTTAAGAAATTCCCAGCATATGCCAGAATAAACTTAAATGTGCTTTAAAGAAGAAGGTCCAGTGTGTGTTTGAGGGAATTGCTAAAGCAGGAAACCCAACCCTTCTGAATCAGATCTACACAGAGCTCTACATCA